CTGCTAATGGCAGTTTCAGCCCTGCATGACCTGCAAACATCTCACTACTTAAGATCTAATTGCAGAGATGTGGTTCTCCGACCTCAGGCTTCGGTAATTTCCTCTCACAAAGAAGAACAAAACAAAATAGTTCTCACATCATAAAATGGTTTTTCTTCTTCTCTCACCTTCTTTATGTCTGTTTTACATTATATTCCTTTTCTTTTTTCCCTGGTTGGTCTTCACTCATAGACATTTCCCCAGTGTTTTCAAAATTCAGAAGGAAAGATATCATATAATCATATAGGAACATAGTGAATTTTATGAACATATATTTATACTTTTAGGTGGATTCAATCAAATCAGTTTCCCTCAACCCTGAGATAGAAAATGAATACATGAAGGAATAAAGAATTGTCACGTGTTACAGACTGTCACTGTTCCCAGAAATCTGAAACACTCAAACACAAACATCTACATCTCATGCACTCAGACTTGGAGTAACTGCTGCAGTTACCTCGACACAGAACCTCCTCACCTTGACAACAATTTGAATATTTGTGCGGTGGTCTGTGCGGTGGTCTGTGTGAGGGTCCAACCAGAGTTGTTGTCTTCAGGCTTTACTCAGTCTCTTCTTTGTGTTCGGTGTGTTACAGGTTCATTTCCCTGCCTAACGGGGTGCTGCAGATCTTTGAAGTGACCAAGGAGGATGAGGGTGTCTACCGCTGTGTCGCATCTAACTCTGCTGGCAGGGGCATCAGTCATGAGGCCAGGCTCGTCGTCACCACAGGTGAGTTCAGTCACAGTGCTTTGTGTCGTGAGAACAGAACGTGGAGCTGCAGTTTTAGCACAACAACAGTGGTCGTCGACAGAGGACCCACTGTGAGCGTGTTGTTGGGTTCTGTACTAGAAGAGAACAATGTCTAATCTTCATGTGAATTTTCTAAAAGAAGACGTTTCACCTCTCATCCAAGAGGTTTTTATTAATGTTTTAATATTACAAAAAAAGTATATTACAGATTGAGCAGATTGATTATTGACTATTGATAGTGTGATGTTTTAGAAATCCCCCGTTTCTTTCCTTGCCTGAGGTCATAAGGGTTCAATAGAACATTAGGTTTTTCTTCTTACCAGAAGGAATGGTTGAGGGTTTGTGCTCATCTTTAACCTCATCCATAAAGATGAGGTTTGAATGTGAACGTCTCCTGATAAAGAAAAGTCATGTGACGTCGTCTTCACCAAAGAGACGTTTTTGGGAATATATTCCTTCGACTCTGACCTGTTCTCCTATTGTTTTCTTGGTGTCTTTGCTGCTGTCATTTAAACCTTTATACTACAGAAAACCTGTGACCAGAAACAAGGACCAAAACAGAAACAACAAACAAACATCTCTGATGCAGAGGAAAAGTCCAAATGATTAATTGATGATGTGTTGACGGAATCCTTTACCTAGCAGCAGACGGTACTCCCTGGCTATCATTAGCATACATCTCACTGAGGCTGCCTGGGTCCAGCAGAATGGTAAAGAGACAGAGAGAGACAGAGAGAGAGAGAATCAAAGTGGTGAGGAGCAGCAGCTATGAATGCCTCGTTGCTTCCAGTTCTCTCACAATGTTCCCACAACAGAGGCAGCAAAGGGAAGAGATGCTTCTCATTTACATGTTTTAGGGACATTCTGTCTCACAAAGTGCTTCTCTCTCTGTCTTCTTCTTCTGGAGGAGCTCAGAGGAGCTAAGTACGAAAGAGCACCTCCTTTCTGTAACTTGGGGAATTAATTCCTAATAATTAATACTCTTGTATTATTATTATTGTTATTATTGTTGATAATAATAATAATAATAATAGTGGGTTTTTCTAATACAGTTTATGTACTTACCAATAGAAGGTACTGGTACTTTTTAAGGTTTGTTTCAATGACTGTTGTAGATGTGGAGCAGCTGTGTGGTTACAGTGAGGACATCAGAGTGAAGACACACTGTGACACACTGTGTGTGTATAAATAACTCTAGTCATTTAAAACACAGTCAATGCCATCAGATGTATTTCAGTTTGGATGTATCAGTGCAGTCTAAGACCAAGAGATGAATTAATGCTACTGCCTTTGTTAGATTTTGTTTTTGTCAGTTTTGTCCACTTATATTGGATTGATATAAAATCACATTCACAGCAGTTCATAACGTACCAACTTTAACAACCTTTTAAAGACATTATGATGGAAATGAAAGCTCACTACAGTCTGCACTTCTGTCAGAAAGTTTGTCCTTGTCTCACATTCTTCTAGTGGTATCACACAGTTTTTGCATTAACATTTTGTATTTACCAGGGTTGCTGCCTGTGACTCTCTGCTTCCTCTTCTCTGTCTCCACCTTCTTGTGTATTTAGATAATCAGAAAGTGCATTTTTGTAAAGGAAAATGTCAAAATCTTCATTCTTACTTTAGATACAATGTAAAGCTGAAACCAGCATCCAAATATCGAAAAGGAGTTTAATAAAATGTCAGAATTGTAAATGAAATAATTTTAATTATACTGTTAATGAAGTTTCTGTTCAACAATAACATCATGAATGCCCTAGAATTCAAAGACATTTCTAAAGTTAAAGCTGCCAATTTCTGAAACCTACCAACTAGAATTGATCTTTGTTTCTTATTTCTGTCTTTTTTCAAAGGCGCTGCTCAAACACTTGACAACGTTGTAATCGTGGCACCACCTCAAAATGCCAGCGTGGTACTGGGTCGGCCCACGGTGATGGAGTGCATGGCACAGGGCCAGCCTAAGCCTCTGGTGTCCTGGAGCAGACGAGGTAATACCTGGTTTCTGGTTCTTCCAGCTTGAACTTTAAACCCCTGTTTGTCTTTCCTCTTTAGGAGAATCTTCTCTCTTCTTTCTCTTCTTTTCTTCTTTTCTTCTGTCTTTTATTGTTTCCCAGAGAAGACAAAATCAGATGCATGTCCATGTGGCTGTAGACCTGTTGTTAAAGTGATGATAGCTTCACCTCTTATCCAGTCTTGTCACCTTCCTTTCTCCACTTGCTTTATAATTGATGATCAGTCACAATGACCCCCCCCCCCCCCCCCAGCCATAAACTGAATGACCTGTCTCTTATCTGCACTGAAGTAAATAAAAAAAAAGGGTGTTTGAATTGGTACGATCATTGAGCCACCTGTTGGCAAAGATGTGTAATTACAATTGTTTTTTTTCTGGTAGAATGACTGCTGCCTTTTTAAGACTCTCTCACACACAGTCTTCTGTTCTTTTTTCTGTCATCTGATCAGATGGAAAACCTATTTCTGCCGATGTGATTGTTCTCGCAACCAACCTGGTGATTAGGGACACAAGGCGTCACCACGCTGGAGTCTACGTCTGCCGCGCCAATAAACCCAAGACCAGAGAGTTTGTGACTGAAGCTGCTGAACTGCATGTGTCTGGTGAGAGTCAGGAAGTAAATCACTGCTGCGCTGCTGTTTATGTCTTATTTTTAGACGTGTCAGAAGCAGAATACTAGTTTGAAGTGTTGGTGTCTAGATAACTCATGAGTCTGAGGGAGAGCAAAGTACTACTGTGTGTGTGTGTGTGTGTG